ACCAGAGCTCAACAAAAAATTTGATCTTCAAGTACAAGATTCAAGAAAGACATAAAAAGGTAAATGGGACAGAAAGATATAGTTGTTAATAAGGGGACTGTTTACATCCCTACAAGGGAAGATGACACTTGCAACTCTTGAGAACTGTATTGTTATTATACCATGTTAAAGGAGTATACATAAAGGGGGATATTAGTTGACTTTGATGTAATGATAAAAAAAATCTAATCAAGTGGGTTAAATGGATCCAATAAGTGGATTATCTGATCTTAGAAAATGTACTGAGAAAAGAGGAGGCAGACAAGGGTAAATTACATTACAGGAAAAGACAGAAAATCCTATTACAGCAGAGAGAAAGAAGGGAATACTCTCATCAGATTTGGCTCAAGAAGGGAATAACATAATCTGTTAGGTATAGAAATCTAACTTGCCCTATAGGCAGTAGAGGGGAAAAGGGGAAAGAAAAGGGAGGGGGATAGAAGGGAGGGAAGAAGCAGTAAGGTAAAGGGGAAGAAAAGGGAAAGGGATAATAGAAGGGAGGAGGACTGAAGGAGGCGTGGTCAAAAGCAAAACACTAGTGGGGGGAAAGGAAAAGGAGAAAGAAAAGCATAAAATGGGGGGAAAAGGATGGAGAAAAAGACACAGATAGTAATCATAACTGTGAATGTGAATGGGATGAACTCTCCCATAAAACAGAAGTGATTAGCAGAATGGATTAAAAAACATAATCCTATAATACATTGTTTACAGAAAACACTTTTGAAAAAGAGTGACACATACAAGGTAAAGGTAAAAGGCTGGAGCAGAATATATTATGCTTTAGCTGAAGTAAAAAAAGCAGGGGTAGCAATCCTGATCTCAGACAAAGCAAAAGCAAAAATAGATCTAATCAAAAGCAAGGAAACTACATCCTGCTAAATGACACCATAGACAATGAAGTAATATCATTACTAAACATATACGCATCAAATAGTATAGCATTCAAATTCTTAGAGGAGAAGTTCAGGGAGTTACGGGAAGAAATAGACAGCAAAACTATACTAGTGGGGGACCTCAATTTCCCCCTCTCTGTACTAGATAAATCTAACCACAAAATAAACAAAAAAGAAGTTAAGGAGTTAATAGAACATTAGAAAACTTAGGTATGACAGACCTCTGGAGAAAACTGAATGGGGATAGAAAGGAATATACTTTTTTCTCGGTGGTACATGGCACATATACAAAAATTGACCATATACTAGGGCATAAAAACCTCACAATCCAATGCAGAAAGGCAAAAATATTAAATGCATCCTTTTCAGATCATGATGCAATAAAAATTATATGTAATAAAGGGCCATGGAAAGATAAAAAAACCTTTCCATTTCAAGAAAGCCTATATATTAAATACTGCATGTTGTGTTGGAAGCTGTCCATCTTTGCTTCCTTATGGGTTTTCTTTTGTTCTCTGCTGTGCATTTTTTACTTTGTTCTTTTTTCCCCTTCCTCCCTCCCAGACTATAATTAAGCATGGATATATTTATATATAGGTATTGTTACATACATATACATATACATATACATATACATATACATATACATATACATATACATATACATATACATATACATATACATATACATATACATATACATATACATATACATATACATATACATGTACATATACATGTACATATACATGTACATATACATGTACATATACATATATACACATACATACTACATCCTTGGCAATAAGCTGAATGGATGCCAACTGAATGAAACATTCAGACATTAAGCAGGGCACCATGAGGAATTTTTAAACATAGGTTAGATGGAGGCTTTTGACAGACAGACCTTGACTGTAGTCATTGGGAAGCTACAGTTAAAAACTAGATGTAAGCTTGAAGGTACAAATTAGTAGAGATGGGTTTGTTCCAAAGGCCTCAAATCCTGAAGCAAGAAGACTCTTGGTAAGGAAATTTCTATTGCAGTTCAATAGAGCATTTGGGCCTGGACAGACCGCCCCCATCCCTTTATGGGAGGAAAAGCCACTGAGCACATTTTGCTAGTCTAGTGAAGGGTGTGGGAGCTGTGCTGCTGGGCTTTGAGCTAAAAGAGAGGTGGTCGAGCCCACTGTTCCTGTTATGGAGAAGAGGTAACCTCTCAGCTGAAGGAAAGAAAAAGGCTAGCCCATGGTGCTGTGCAGGCAGTGACCAGAAGAGAGGCCAGGACCAAGGGAGGAGCATCCCATAGTGGCCAGGAGAGACCAGCAGAGTCAGACGCTATGCCCCACGCTCCCCACTGGACAGAAACCATGTACTCGGTGGAGACTTCGTGACACGGGAGACCTGAGCGGGCAAGGACCCTGCCAGAAGACCTGGGCGGTCAGGCAGCACGGGAGGTGGGAGCTGTCCCGGCCACGTGCGCCCCATCACACGTGTAACTCAACCACAGATATCCTTGGACGTGTGTCCTTGCATGTGACAGCTAATGTGGATTATATGTAAGCCAGCGGTGCCGCGTAAGTAACAGCAGCTGCCCCGGCTCATTCCCTCCCCTGCTCTCTGTAAGCTCCAGAACAGGCTGTCGATCAGTCAAGCAGCCGGGGATGGCGCAAGTATGTCGTTTGGCCAGCAGGTGGCGTGCCCTCAAGCAACCAGCCTCCCGCAACTGATTTCTTCTCCACAGTATACTTCAGCGTGTATGCCTTGTGGGCGTTCTCAAAGGCTGCTGCGTGTCCATTGCCCAGCAGAGGGCGCTCAGCCTACGACCTGCAATCCTGCTGTCTTGAGCTCACGCAGCGCCTGGAGGCTGGCCTCAATGATACAGAGTTACACACGTGGAATATCGCTCTGACATAGTAACAAGGGCAAAAGCTTCATGTTTCCACCCCTAACGCATTTCTGAGAGAACTGCTCTTAACCAACTTTATTGGTACAAAACAGGCTCAAACAACTTTTAAAATGGGCACATCACTAAAATAGAAAAGTTTACATCTGTGTAAATGTATACGCATGTGTGCATGAACACACTCTACACATCACACAATGACCACACATACACGTGTATTGTGTGCGCACATGTAAGCGTGTGGTATGTGTGTACGTATAACACACATGTACATTGTGTATGATAGACAGGTAATGAGGGTAAACAAGAGAAAATCTCTCTTACTGCCCCCTTCTGCTTTCCATCCCTCCTAACTCTGAAACTGCTGGTCATTCCCAGTACTCTGGAACTCCCTTGGGAAGCAGCATCCCTTAACCCCGGCTGGCAATATGCCTTTCTGTTCCAGGTCCCAGGATTCAGAGTTGATTGGCCACACTCAGAGCAGACAGTGTCTCAGATGCCACAGAAGCAGCAAGAACACTGATGATGCTGGGGGACAGTTACATGCCCCCATCCCCCACCTGAACCCGCCATGGTTTTCAATTCCTCCCTCTCTCGCGGCTCTCTGGTTCCTACACTAGCATCTGAATGGGAAAGAGGGCAGATTGGCTCTTCTGAAAGACTCAAACAAGAAACCTCTCTCCAGGATGAAGCCTGTGAAACAGTCAATGGGGTAGGGTTGAGCTGTGTCCATATGAAAAATCTCACCCTATCTCCTGGCCTTTGCCATGATGTTATTGCAGTCTTGAGCTCATGCGTAGATGGTGTCATTTTCTGGATGTCATGCAGCTAAGTCCTTTGGCCCCCTCAAGTTCCCACAAAGATGAGATTCATTATACGTATGTAGGCCCTGGCCACACAGATTCCTCCTGTGCTCTGTACACAAATTCATTCTCCCACTGATGGTAGAAAAATGTTCCCCAGGCTTATGTGAAAATGTTTTACTGTTTTTCTTACTATGCTATTTCATTAAATGCCTTTGCTGTAAACAAATCGAATCCCTCAGCTCATGATTAAAGGCAAACGTACTAGCAGGGAGGCATTAGCTAGGTTTTTGTTGAGAATTGGCAAAGCACCTTGAAATGGAGGAAGGTTTGTGTGGAAGGCCTATTGTGTGAGTCGAGGGGTGCCCTCATGGGGTGGCTTTCTCATCTCCTTCTGGAAACTGGGCACTTTGATGGCTCTTCCTATTTTAGTGAGGTCCCCAATGAACCCAGCTGAAGACTGAGGAAGCAGGGGATGTTTGGCCTGAAATCCCTCATGCTGACCCTTCTGGTCTCAGAGGACATTTATGAAGCCAAGTGACTCTGTTAATATTTCTTTCTCTTTGAAAATGACCTTCAGCTCTTGGTGGCCTGGGGTCAAGGCTAGTTTGTTACCAAGGTCCTGTCTTTTGGGGATTCTCTTAGGACACCTGCATTTCTGCAGTTCTGAGGTAGTGGGAGGACAGAGTTACACATTTCCATGGATACTGCTGTCAGCTGGGAAGCATCGGGGACCATTTCCCATCAGCTTTTCCTAATGTGTGTCTAGGATCTAACAATAATTACAGAAAACCAACACCTGGGGCCTTACCAAGCCCCGTCAGTGGCACCTCAAGGTGGAGACCTGGCTTTGAGGCTGGACCAGTCTAGCCAAACCCCATCACTGCTGGGGGCTTGCTCTTTCTCCCTCATGACAATGGGGACAAATCTCCTGCTGCCCAGCCGGGAAGCTGAAGCAGCAACGCTAGGGCTGCCTGTTCTTAGGATGGAAGGGCTCTGGTGTTGTTCTTGAAGAGGCCAGGAGGGAGTGCTGTCCTCAAGGGAACGTGGCTTGCCTTGCCTCTGCCTCCCCTGCCTGCCAGCAGCTTGTGCTGTAGGTAATCCTCCACCATGACGACTTCCCGTGAGCCAATCCCCGTTTCTTCTTTGTTTCTGAAGCCAAGGCCTGGTAGAAAAGGGCTTCAGTGGGCAGGACTGCCTTTTCCTGTAGAGATCTGAGCCAGTGCACACGAGGGGAGTGAAGGCTGCCAGGCACATCAACACGCAGGGCACGAGCGGGAGGGGAAAAGGCATCTGAACGGCCTGTCGGGGCTGCCAGTCAGCCAACCATCCATGCAGTTGGAACATGCAAATGCTGCAGCCTGAGATCACACAGAGGTCTTTTTATTTCTTGATTTTTATGAGAAAATACACTCTGATAAGAGAAAAAATACTGCCTCATTTCAATTTAGTTACATTTGACAAGGATGTATTAAGTACTTACTAGGAGTAAGGGGCAAGAAGTAAGTACTTAGCACCTGCCATGTATCAGGTACCCTACTAAGTGCTTCACACAGTCTTCTCATTTGATCCTCACAACAACCCTGTGAGGTGCTGTTATTATCCTGTTCTACAGTTGAAGAAACTGAGGCAAACAGAAGTTAAGTGACATGCCCAGGGCCAACCCAGCTAGCGTCTGATCTGCGATCACATTGGAACTCAGGTCTTCCTGATTTCAGTCTCTATCCACTGCACCACCTAGCTGCCTTATAAGTAAGGCACTGGTCTAGGCAAGGGACAAAGACAGATAGGAAAAGGTTGTTGCCCTGAAAGAGCTTACATCCTGACGGAGAAACGTATGACAGCACAGATGAAAGCTGAGGGCCCAGAGTCCCAACGGTGTGAGGAAGATGCTACTGTATGGCTCGGGGCATGCTGGGCTTAGCTATCTTGGTATATATTCATTTTGATGGAGGGCAGGGGCCAAGGGAGGATTTGCACTATCCTGGTTCTAGCTTCCTGAAGTAGAGGAAGGGCTGCCTGAGGAGCCCCGGGCACTCAGTGACCTCCTTGATCTCCGAACCGATGCTCAATCTGATCGTTGAATGGATTCTCCTTTCCAAGGACTTGGGGCCATTGCTTGAGGACTTTCTCCCAGAAGAACTGTGCAGCTAGCTGGGAAGCTACCTGTGAGAGAGAATCAGATTCATACTTGGCTTTGGATGGGGGGTTTCCTGGGCAGCATACCCTCAATTTGGGAGTCATCAGATACTCTTTTCACAGAATCTCTGAATTGGAAGTGCCCTCCCTCAGTGGCCATCCAGTCCAAGGCCTACCCACCCAAACCAGTGATGGTCATCCAGGCTTTGCTTGAAGCCTCCCCGGGCAGAGGGAAGCCCCCAGGCTGTCCCTCCTGGGCTGGGAGAGTTTTCATTGTTAGAACACTGCCCCCTCCCACTGAGCCCACATTTGCCTCTGAAACTTTGGTCCTGAAGCTCTGAGTTCTGCCTTCTGGGGACAAGCACAATGAATCCTTCTTCCTCTTCCACATAGCCCCCTGTGGATGCCTGAGTCCAGCTCCTTACCTTCTCTTCTCCATTTTGAGTGATGCTTACTTGATTTTTCTTTTAAAGAATGATTTTTTTTTTTAGCACAGTCTCCAAAGCAAGTCACAGCACCCTTTGACAGGCAGGGTAGATGTGTGTGTTTTTGGCCATCACTAATTATGTTATTTGAACTGTATGGCTCTGTGAACTAAGTGGGCCAGAGGAAACCCAACATGCCTTAAAACCGAACTTATTATCTCTCCCCCAAACCTCCCCTTGCCAAATTCCCTACCACCATCCTCCTGGTCACCCAACTCACCATGTGGGGTCAACTCTAACCTTCTCTCTCCCCAGTCCTTCCCCCCACCCAATATATCCAATCGTTTGCCAAGGTCTGTGCTTTCCACTTCCATCACGTCTCTAGTACATACTTCCTTCTCTCCCCTGACATTGTCACCCACCCACCCTTATCCCCTGGAGCTCAGACCACTGCTGTCAGGGCTGCCCACTTCAGATCTCACCCCATTCCAGTTCATCCTTCATTTAGCTTCCTAAAGCATGGGTCTGACCTTGTCAGTCAACTCTACTAGCTCCCTGTTTCCCCAGGATCAAAGAAATGGTCACATTTGGCTTGTAGAGCCCTTCATGAGCTGACTCCTTCCCACCTTTCCAGTCTTCTTACATCCTACTCCTCTCCAGGTACTTTTCCATCCAGTGCCACTGGCCTCTATTTCCAATCCTCCAACAAGCCACACCCTCTCCTGACTCCAGGCATTTTCACTGCTGGTCCTCCTTGCCTGGAATCCTCTCCCTCCTCATCTCTGCCCAGGGCTTCCTGACTTCCTTTAGCTCCACCTGAAATCCCACCTTCTGCAAGAAGCCCATCTCCATCCTCCTTAATTCTAGGACCTTCCCTCTGTTGGTGATCTCCAATTTAACCTGTCCACAGCTTGTTTGTGCATACAGGTTTGCATATTGTCTCCCTCATTGGACTGGGAGCTCTTGGGGAGCTCAGACTGATGTTTGTTGCTATGGAATCTTTCTTTGTATGTTCAGCACTTAGCACAGCACCTGGTACACAGTAAGTACTTAATAAATGCTTGTTGACTTGGCAGTCACTGCCATGATGGTGTCCCTGTTCCACGTCCCCTGTCTCTCTAGTCCATCTTCCTAAAAGCTGCCAAAGTGATTTTCTTTAAAAAGAACTATGAGCATTCCAGCCCCCACTCAGCAAATTCCTGGGACTGGAATCAGACACGAACTCCCTAATTCACTTTGAAAGCTCTCCCCCACCTGGTTCCAACCTATCCTTTCAGCTTCACTGGACATTCCTCCCCATTCTAGGGATCCAGCCAAACAGATCCTTCTCAGTCTCATTAATGGCCCTGTCCCCCAACACCATGCTTTGGCACAACTCTCTCCTCATCTCTGCCTCAGAGAATCCCTAGCTTCTCTCAAGGATTAGCTTAAGCACTACCTTCAAAGTGAAGCCCCAAACTGCTAGTACCTACTTGCCCTTCCTCACTTGTACAGGCTAGCTGCCCATCTATCATCTATCTATCTATCTATCTATCTATCTATCTATCTATCTATCTATCTATCTATCTATCCATCCATCTATCTATCCATCCATCCATCCATTTATCCATCCATCCATCTATCCATCTACCTATCTATTCATCCATCCATCCATTTATCCATCCATCCATTTATCCATCCATCCATCCATCTATCTATCTATCTATCTATCTATCTATCTATCTATCTATCTATCTATCTCTGTGTATATGTATTTGTTATCTCCTCTGGCTAGAATGCCAGCCTCTCGAGGGAAGGTGGAATATTTCACCTTTGTCTTGGCATACCCCATACCCACCATAGAGCTTGGCATATAGTGGGTGCTAAATAAATGTGTATAGATCGATACAACATTTGAAGCAAGATTCACACACAAGCTTTCCTTCAAGTCCAAGATGATGAATAGTATGGTTAGGCCAATGAGTGTAAAGAATGACTAGCCCTTTAATAACTCCATAATTCTATTCCTACAGGACTTTTGGATTCAGTGATGACAGGCAGAGAGGCATGTGGTCTATGCACCTCCCCGAAGGGAAGGCCACCAAAGATTCTCAACCCTGGTTCTGTTTATTGTTCTGCTGCTAGCCAAGACTAATGTTCTGGTCATTGGTTACCTTCCCAGGTCTGTACTTTCACTGTCTGGGTTCTCATTCCCCAGGATGACAGTAGAGCCATTTCTTGGTTGGGTTGTCTCCAGTTTGTCACTGATGCGCTTTGGTGACTGGTTCCTTTTTAGAGGGAAGTCTTTGACACTCCCTACACTGACCTTTGACCTTAAATTCAATCTCCACTAGTGGGCCCAGCCACTCCACTCTCATGTTAGATGCCTTAGTCAAAGGGTCTCACATTGCCAAGTTAAGTGCAACCATCCAAATCTATATACTCACTGCCACCAAAGGTTCAGCTTGTTCTTCTCACCGAAACTTTTGGCTTCTGAAATGGCCATCCATCCCCAAACACACTCTCTGTATCCTGCCTTTTATCTGTCTCTGGTAACTATTCTCAGGTGACTGGAGAATATCTCCAATTTGTAGATATGGAGGCCTTTAGACAGGTTCTCCTCGGGGATGAATATCTGAGAGCAATGGGCCTAATGCACACTAAAGCCAACTATGATTCTGCGTGAAACATCGCTCAGTATTAGAATAGCCACCAAGCCTTGATAATGCCCCAATGTCATCTAATCATAAACTGGAGTTTAGTGCTTGCTGACCTTGAGGGCCTCAGTTTCCTCATCTGTAAAATGAGAGCGTTGGACTAGATGACCTCATAGGACAGTTCCAACTCTAGTCCTGTGAACCTATAAGGAAGAAGCAGTTGAGGAAAATATGCTGCATGGTCTTTCTCTGAACAGGGGCAAAAGGCATGGGTCATGTTGGCTTTCCAAATTGGGGGGGAAATCCAAATTATTTGTAAATGAAGAATGGATTTTTGGGGCAGCCTTTCCCTGTTTTACATATGAGGAAACTGAGACTCAGAGAGAGGTGAAGCAGCTTCCTTATGATCACACAATGTAGGAAGCAGAAACAGGATTTGGACCCAGATTTTCACCAAGATAGGGCTCTGTCTGCCCCACCCTGCTGCCTCATAGCTCAGAGAGTGACTGGCAGAAATATAGTCCCTGGCAAACAGCTTTTTGGCTTGTAATGAAATGCACCTGCACAAAGCAATCGGCTTTCTAGAAACAAGGGACTCACTTGACAGCCAGGAAACTCCCAAGCTCAGTGGGGGCAAATGAAATTGCTGAAAGTTATGTGGAAATTAACTGGCCTGCTTAAAAAAAAAGACAAACCGCATCTAGGCTATTTCCCTAAAAACTGTATGAAACCAAGGCACATAGTGTAATTTCCCTATAGGATCCGATAATTGAGGTGGGAGAGGTGAGGATAAGGAGATAGAGAAACGAATTAGCTTGGATTTGAGCAAGCTGCAAATATGTTTCAGAGAGAAATCAGTTGGAGGTCATCTTAATGCTCACATGAAAGGTCTGTTGGTATATTGTGGAGTGTGCTCTGCTAAGCCACACTATTGACTCTATACAGAGCGGAAAGAGCATTGTTGATTTAAACGGCCTTTTATTCATCCCCATCCTCACTGCTCACCTTGGACGCATCCTGACTGTGGGACCCTGGGCAAGTTCCTTCCCTTAGTGCTCAGAGAGCTCTCCAAGGGCCTAAGTGGCACAGAGGACACCCACCTGCAGCAGAAGAGGGAGTTCCCTTTCCTTAGGAAACCATGGGTCCAATCCCTACCCTGGTCCATGCTCTCTGCAGCTTCTCTGGAGTGCCCCTTTTCCCAGGACTTGCTTCTCCTGGCTCCTGTGAGACTGGTCTCACCTGGTTTGCCTCCTCTTTTTCTGACTGCTTCAAAGTCTTCTTTGTTGGAAGGCCCCCTATTTCCTTCCCTCTAAGGAAATGTGTTCGACTCAATCAATCAATCTAAACACTGGGGATATAGAAAGAAATAGAACAGACTTTGCCCTCAAGGAGCTTATAGCCTAACTGGAGAGACTGACTAACTATCTATCTATCTATCTATCTATCTATCTATCTATCTATCTATCTATCTATCTATCTATCTACCTACCTACCTATGATATCTACCTACCTACCTACCTACCTATATCCATCTACTGAATGTGAACCATTTTGAGCCCGCCTTCACCTAAGAAAGGCCTAAAACCTGGGTTAGCCAATCAGGAGAAAGACACTTTTGGCCCACTCTGAGCTTAATTTACCATAATGCTTTGCGTGAACTGGCATAGCAGACGTGCTCTGCTCTCTGAGTGAACCCAAAATGCCCCTTCCTGTGTTAGCAACTAGAAGGTTGGTTGAAGGTGACCAGGAGCATTCTTCTGTTTATGACTGCCAAGGACAAGGCTCCTTGAGCAGGACACCATCTTGAATAATGGGACTTTTCTTATGGTATGCTATATTATCTTATGTTAATGATAGAAGAAACGCAGACATCCTGGAACTATAATTTCAATTGACACTTCTCTTATCTTGTTGTATTTCCAACCTATCCTATTAAGAAATTCTTTTCTCATATTATGGTTAACACATATGGAGACTTTTTGGTTTTGGGTTGACACAGGCATCCTGAGTTGGGACTGTTCTGGTGTAGAAAGGTTTCCTGCAGCTTGCTTACCTCTGAGTTCAGAAGTATTTTCTGACTCCCATGCAATGCATGATTCTCTGGCTTACTGAGAATAAACAAGCATGTTATAGCACACATACAGCCTGATTCTGTATATTGCTTGGTCAAACGTTTGGTAAAGGAGGGAACCCCATTCTGTTTGTTCTTTGGACAAACTTTCAGTTAAGGGGTTTCGAAACAGATTTTGTTTGTTTCTTTGGACCAAATCTTTGGTAAATGGTTGACAATACCTATCTATGATATTTCTTTCTTTCTTTCTTTCTTTCTTTCTTTCTTTCTTTCTTTCTTCTTTCTTCTCTTCTTTCTTTCTTTCTTTCTTTCTATCTATCTATCTATCTATCTATCTATCTATCTATCTATCTATCATCTGTCTGTCTGTCTGTCTACCTACCTATGATTTCTATCTATCTATCTGCACCAGTAAACTGTGCTACACTCTTTTCCCAATGACCTCATCTGCTTCCAACTGTCAGCCCTCAGCAGATGCCTCCCCAAACTACAGATCCACCCTGCTCTCTCTTCTTGCAATCCCAGGTGCCTGTGGGGCATCTCAGACTCCACTGTCCCACTCTGCCCTGCTCCCCAACTCCTCACCTCCCCCTCTCCACCTGCTTATTTGGTTGAGGGGTGGGTGCCAATCTCTCCGACTTGCAGGTTCACGCCCTCACGGACCTATTGGATTCTTCTCTAGTCTGGCTTCCTGCGTTCACTTCCAAACCCCTGCCCCCCCCCCCCCCCCCGGCAATGTCTTCCTTGGTTACTTCAGCCTAGGAAATCCTTAGCTGCCTTCAAAGGCTCAGCTCTGCACCACTGCCTCCCTGCAAGCCTTCCCTCATCTTTCCCCTCCCCGAGTGGCCTGCGGTCAGGGATCTGTGTTCTTGGATCACTCTGTAGTCATTTACTTGGCCTGATGGAGTCTTCACTAGAGCCTTAGGCTGCTTGAGGGCAGAGGCTATTTCACTCTGGTCTCTGTATTCCCAGCAGAGGCATACAGTCAGTGCTTAATAAATGCTTATGGAATGAACTTAATAGGCATGTGTGTTCCCCCACGTTTTATATTTAATCAACTTTATAATAAAAAAGTGCCCGTAAACTGATGGGCCCAAATGGCAATGGAGAGGAAGTCCCTGCGGCATGCCCTCTGGGCCTCATGTTTACAGACCCCCCCATTGTTTGTTGTGCTTTGTTTGTTTGTTTATTTTAAACATAGCTGCAGGTGGTGTGGATACACAACGCTTCACTTGCTTTGATCATTCCTCCCCTGAAAGCCTCCATGGTTAGCCCTCTGCATCCAAAAATGGTTCTGGCGAATTTTGGGCAGGGTCTCTTAGAATACATATACCAGGGGTCCTCCCCTTGGATGAGTAGCCAGGTGGTGCCATGGAGAGGGGCTGGACCCACCTCCAGGCAGATCTATGTTCAAATGCAGCCTCAGACACTCACTGGCTGTAAATCCTTTAACCACTCTCTGCCTCAGTTTCCCCATCTGTAAATTTGGGGTAATAAAGCACCTACCTCACAGGGTTGTCATAAAGATAAAAGGAGATGATATTTGTAAAGTGCTTCACTAACCTTAAAGTGCTATGGAAATGCTAGCTATTATTATGAGACCAGAATGCCGCTGGAATATTATTCGAATAAAAGATATCTGTCCTATCTAAGGACAGTGACTGGAGTGGTTATGGGAGAAAAGCTGGGGGCATTACCCACTGGAGGAATGTGTTCAGCTCAGACCAGCTCCATTAATGCCAATTAATCAATAGGCATTTATTAATCACTTACTGCGATGGACCTTGTGTTGGGTGCTGGGGACGCGCAGTACAGCCCATACAAAGAAATTGAGTAGGTACAAGGCTCTAACAGCTGGTGGGGGAGGGGGAGAGGATGGAGACAAACTCTGGGCTGAGGCATCACACATCAGAAGGAAGTGTGAAGGTCATAACAGGAGGAACAAGGAGATTGTGAGTCAGGTAACAGGGAAGAGTCAAAGGAACCCAGCAGACTTATGTGCCTCAGTTTCCTCTAACGGCTTCCTCTTAGCAAGCTGATGTTGGCTGTTTTCGGAAAGGTCGTGTGTGGAAGGTGGGGGACAAGTGGTCCTTGTCAGATGGGGAAGCCTGGGAGGTGAGAGGAAGCTAAGGGTTTGCCAGAGCAGCTGGGGGAGGAAGAACAGAGCCCCAGGCTCCACCTGGCAGGAGCTCAGCAGCATGTGCCCTGCCCTGCCCTGGGCATCTCTCTGGAGAGTGTCCACAGACGCCCAGCTTGAGGCGGCCCGTGAGGCTGGAGCCGCTGCGCTCAGCCCCGCCTTCATGGCCTCCATGCGCTGCCCCCTCCCCCCATGGGCCTACTCCCGCCCTTACCTCGCTGGGGTGGAAGCCGTCGGCCAGCTCAATCAGCTGCCATGTCTCTCCACCTCTCCTCTGCCACTCCTCAGACACTGTGGAGCACACAACCAAGGCCATTACTGCTATAGCAGTCCTAAGAAGAGTGCTTTAAGAATGGCAGAGCACTTCCCAGCCTCATCCCCTCTGAAGTTGGAAGAAAGGCTCTGTGGGTGTTTAATCCCACTGCAGAGAAGAGTAAACTGAGGCCCTATGGGGTCAAGGCCATCCAGAAGGTAAGCGTGGGGGTATTCGAACCCATCTCCTTGGAGTCTCAACATTTGGACTCCAGTCTAGGCCCGTGGAAAAGCGGCTCTCACGCTTAGGTGGCCGCCCAGGTACACAGGGGCACCCCAGGCTCTCCTTTCCTGACTCTTCTTTCCGATGGAGGGAGGCAGGACCTCTGACTTCGGGTGACACGTCTAGTCTGCAGAATGCCCCGTGGTTTGGAGGCAGGTCTTGGGGTCCAGCCCCGCCCCGGCGAGGCCTGCAGGAGGCTTCACTGGGAGCTCTAGAGGCCTTGGCTCTGCCCAGTATGAGCAGGCCTTCCTGCTCTGAGACAAGGATCCTAGGGTGTCAAAGCCACACCCCAGGTGCCCTCTGAGGTCATTCAGGCCTAGCTACATGCCACAGACTCTGTAAATCCTGCCCCCAGGGGTAGAGGATAATTGGATCTGATATCAGATGGGGGAAGGGAGTGCGGCATCCAGTGGTTGAAAAGCTTGTCCAGCCCTCCTCAGTCAGCCTGTGGCAGAGCCAGGGTCACAAGTGAGGGGTTTGGTCTCCCATGCCAGGCTGAACCCACGAATGTATGAACAAACGAATGAATGAAGAAAGCACGTGCTAGGGGCTTCCTACGGGCAAAGCGCTGCAAGTAGGAAAGTCAGTCCCTGCTCCCAAGGGGCTCTCGTTGGAATGGAACAGACCGTGCACACATGGGAGGTTTCAGCTGCAAGTCCCATGGGATGGTCCTATGGTTGTCAGGGTGTAGCAGCGACGCAGACAGATGGTCAGGCCCCTTCTTTACTGCCAGATCCATTTCTGATGTCCGAACATCTGCTGGTGCCAGGATTTGTGGGGTGAGAACCTTCTTTCCCAGGGCCCAGGAGCTGTGGCTGCTGAGTAGGCAGCCATCAGATGGCATCTCCCTGAAGCCTGGTGCCCTGGATGTTAGCTGCAGGGGCTGGGCTGCTGTTCCCAGGGCTCTTGGGCTACCTCCACTAGGATCTGAGAGGAGGCGGTGGCCAATGTGGCCATGGTGGTTTGATTCACGTGGCACACACCACCTTCCGTCTCTCCCTCGGAGTCCTGTGGCTTCAGATAGGCTGACCAGCCTTCCCTGGGAGTGGCAGGCAGTGTGGGTGGCTGACAGCTCCCTAGGGGTTGCTCCCTTGGTTGATAGCTTCAGAAGCTGGTCTAGAAACAAGGCTGGTGGTCTGAGAGAGATGCTGCCATCCCTGGGGCTTTGGCACTTACCTGCCCATCAAAGCTCCCTTCCAAGTAGGAGATCTGTGACTATCCCTTATCTTGGCACGCAATGCCAGCTTGTTTTGGTGAATAACTCTGACTCCGTAGCCAGGTGCAATCCCACCCATGGGTGCGGATGCCATTCTCTTGCAGGTGTCTCTTCCATTGCTTTTCTCGTGGACGTCCACTAACTTCTGAAGGACAAGTGGGTTCATACATGAGAACTGGATGTGGGGATCCTGGGACTCGGCCCTGGAGGTGACCAAAGCCATTGTCTGGTCTGGGTGCTTCAGAGGCCCAGAGGGAAGTCTGCCCCAGGTCACAGGGTCAGGTTCAAGCACAAATCTTCTGGCTCCTGGCGTGTTGGGTTCCATGCAATCTTGCCAAGGTACGGTGCATCTAACTGTGCTGACCAGACTGATAGGAGCTCAGAAGGCTTTACCACAGTTCGGGAACAAATAGTCCAAATGAACATTTGGGGTGGATTCTCTAAATTTGCGCATCTCTATCATGTCTTTGCCTACAAATAAAGTGTCCACATATAAAGTCCAGTTCTCCGGACACTTGGGAACGCTAGAGCAGTGAGGGAACCACGCCTCATATTTTACAGGAACACGAGGCCCTTCTCTGCGAGCTCCCCCTCACCCCCCATCACTCAGGTGCCTTCTGCCCTTGCCCCTCCTCTCCTCCATCTCCTATGATGAAGTGGCCTGATTCCCGACCAACCTCACCCCTCCTCCTGCTCTAGTGATCTCATCCATCCTGCCCCCTCCAGCAGACTGTCCCCTCTGCCATCCCCTCTTTCTCTGATTTTCAGTTCTCCTTCCCCGCTGTCTACAAACATGCCTGTGTGTCCCCATCCTCCCAATCCCATCCCTTGATCCTTCCTTCTCCACTATCATTGAATTCCTCTTCTGCAGGAACTGTCTTTTGGCTCTTTTTGTATCCCTAGCACTTAGCACGGTGCCTGGCACATAGTAGGTGCTTAATAAATGTTGATCGATTGATTATTGAAATGGGTAGCCTCCCCATTTCTGGCTGGGTCTTCTAACCTTTGGTCAGGAAGCCTCAGCCTCAGAGTACGGAGCAGTCTAGTGCACAGAATTGACCCTGGCAAGCAGGAAGCTCCTGAACACTGTGGTTGGTGACGGTCAGATGGGGACGGCTTTCCTGTCCGGGACAACTTTCAGCTTCCCCAGGACCTGTCAGGCCTTCAGTGGATGTGCAGCGTGCCCTGCCTGACCATTTACCCGGCCCATCTGAAGCCATCCCCACACAAGGGAGAGGCCTGTTCACTTTACTAAGTGTGGCCATGGAAAGGCTGGCTCCCCTGCGGGACCTCACAAGCTGCCCTTTCTGTAGATGAGCAAATTGAGACCTAGGCAGGATTCGAACTCAGGTCCTCACAGTGCAAATCCACCAAACCACACAGAAGTTTGGGTTGCCGCGTTTGTAAAACCTGCCCACAAGCAGGCCATGAGCCCGGGGCTCAGAACAGCTGCTGGCCAGCCTGCGTTTTTTCCACACCCGGAATGGAAGGGGTACTCACTTTCCTTGAAAGGATAATCCAGGTAGAGGAGACTGATGTTGGCAAATTTCTCACTGGCTGCGATCATTTCCAGAACGTTGGAAAGTTGCTTGGCTCTCTGCAAACAAGGAGATGGGCGGGGTCCGGGACAACTCAGGATTTCAAAACTGCCCCCTCCTTCCCCTCCCTCACTCCCAGCCCTCCCTTGGGCAGAGACCAAGTCTAACAAAGGCCAGGCTAAGTTTATTTTCCTCCCTCCCTCCCTCCTTCCTCTCTCCCTCCTTCCCTCCCTCCTTTCCTTTCTTCCTCCCTTCCTTCCTTCACATATGTGTGTGTATATGTATATATTTATATATTCATATACTGTCTCTTGATCACACTGTCAGGTTGATATACTAAACATATGCTTGGCTCCTGGGCCCCCTTCTAGTCAACACAGAAGGCCGGGGCAGGGCGGGGCGTACTTCAGAGGTGAGGGTCCGGAGAGTTTCATTGGAGGACATCCAGCCTTGGCAGGGGTTCACCTGTGGATGGACAACATTGGACACTTTGGTCAGAGAGGACGAGGCTGCTGTGGGGATGCCTGCACTGGGACCAGCCCCCTGACCTGCTCACCTGGACGCAGCTGAGGAAGGCGTAGAGCTGCTCATAAGTGATGTCTCTATTCAGCTGGCCTGGAAGACAGTGATTGTCCACTTCAGATGGGACCACATACTTGCAAGGAAGGGTGATGTTTCTGAATGTGGCACAAAGCCAAGGCCTCCCAAGTTTCCCAATTCACTGCTTTTTCATCAGGGTAAATGCTCATCAGCTGGGTACAGGGCCACTCTGCCCTTCGGGTCTCAGGGCATTCCTGGCTCTGGGATGCTCTGAGCAGATCCAGTATTGGGTTGGAGTCCAGGAGTCTAGACCCAAGTGACAAGCTGGACTTTAGCTGGGCTGTGGAAAAGGCCTGGGGTAGGGGGAGGGAGTGCTGAGGTTGGGAACCATCCCAATACATGCCAGCGTGGGGCAAAGGGCCTTGAGGGCTGGCACCCACTCTGGTCGTGGCTTGGGACCTGACTCACCGAGGGCCTTGAAATAACACGTTCAATCTACCCCAGGGGGCACAGCTGCCTGCCCACGGAACCAGTCCTTCTGCTGAGCTTGGGAGCACTTTGGGAGCAGCTGGGATGGTAGCATCTAGAGCTGATGGAGCAGCTAGAGCTGAGCCCCCCAGCCTGCCCTCCCTTACCACACACACACACACACACATACACACTCTGTACATACCACACACATACCACACACATCATACTTACATCATACACACACCATATAAACATACACACATATACACACCATACACACACACACACACACACACACACACAAACCCCATATACGCATATACCATATACACAAAGGACTCTCTCTGCCTCCCTCCAGGTTTCCTGCCTCCCCCTCTGGGGCTGAGCACCCCCTCCAGCAGAATGACTAGGCCTGCTGCATGAATGTTTCTCTTGCTGTGCCTAAATGGATGAAAATCGAGGCCACATATCAAAGCCATGCCTGAGATTGATGGTGACAGCGCCCAGGCTTATTTTTCACTTCTCTTGCAGAGGTACTGGACTGAAGGATCACTAGATTCCATTTCCCTGTCAAGGAGGAGGCTCTGCCCGTGTGAGTGAGTGAGTGGCCAAGCCCCGGGCTGGCGCATCAGCAGAACAGAGTCTCAGGGACATGCTGGGGTCTCTCAGAGCATCTGGATGTTCTGATTAGGCAGAAAACCAGAAATTAAAACCAAGCTCCTGCCTTGGCGCTCGGGTCAGTACCAAGCCGTGTCCTGTGCTTTCTCTGCTTCCAAACTTCCATGTTTCCCCTGCTCTGATTTCTGGTACTTCACAATCTGTCTGCTCCGACCTGCATCCCTCTGTACATTTGAGGAGCCTCTATGGCTGAGCAAGGAAAGACAGAAATGGCAACATGACCTCCCTTGGCAGCCTCACCCATCTCCTGGCACTTGCTTCCTTTCACCTTGCTCCTGGGGCTCTCTGGCAAAGACCTGGCCTGTGCTGAGCAGCTACCCTCTTCTTCTTTCATTCATTCACCCATTCATTCACCCATTCATTTATTCACTCATTCACCCATTCATTTACTCATACATTTCACCCATTCATTTACTCATACATTCACTCATTCATTCACCCATTTATTTGCCCATTCACTCACTCATTCATTCACCCATTCATTCATTCATTTGCCCATTCACTTACTCATTCACCTGTTCACTCACTCATTCATTCATTTCTCAAGCCTCTTCCATGGGCCAGGCACATTTGTTTTTGGGAGGGGTATACTGTCTTCATGTCCCACTTCCTCTCTGAGGTTTGACCTGACTACTCTGGCATTTATAGGTACAGATATGTCCACCAGACAGTTTTCCACAGCCGTTTGCCATGGAAGCCCCCAACCTGGAGAGAGAGCTGAGAAGGGAAGCCCAGGAGCAGCAGAGGGGGAGATGGGTGTATTTCTGCTGAGGCCAAATCTCTGCTCTTTGTGCTTAAAACACAAGCATGTCCCCTTTCAAGATGCCCATCAAAGGGCCTTGGGGATATCTCTCCATGGGTCAGGTTATCAAGGAGAACCAAGTGTCCTTAAAAAATGGACAAAGGTGGGAGGGTGGAGCCAAGATGGCAGAGTGAAAGCAGTGACTTGCTTGAGCTCTCCCCCAAACCCCTCCAAGTACCTGTAAAAATGACTCTAAACAAATTCTAGAGCAGCAGAACCCACAAAAAGATAGAGCGAAGCAAATGGATGGTTGATTGGAAAGGTCTATCATGCTGGGCTGGGAGAGGAGCACAGTTCATCATGGTTAAGCAGGCAAACCAGGCCAAAGTGAACCTGGAGCAGGCCTCAGGGGACTGAATCAAGGGGAGCTGTGCAGGTTTCCAGACTTTTCAACCCACAAACGCCAAAGACAACTTGGAAAGTCAGTAGGAAAAGTCTGCTGGACCTTGGTGAGAGAGGAGCTCAGTCCCAACCCCAGTTCTGGGGGGGCAGCGGCTGCTTCCAGAGCTCCCAGACCACAGGGGGAATTGAGTGGCTGATCAGAGGGGGATTGCAGGGATCTTTATGCTGGTGCTGAGGCTAGATTTTCATTTTGCCCATGCTTGGATCTGAGTCACAGTTCTGGGTGGTGATCCTGGGGTGAGGAGGAGTGCTGGCGTGATGGAGCTTATAGTGGTGGTGGAAAGGGAATCTTCCTCACAGTTCCAAGGCAGAAAAGAGTGTTTGTGGTCACTCACAGACCAGAGCCCAGGCCAGGAAAGGAGTAAACACCTCGCCCTTGATCATACCACCTTGGAAGAACTGAAAATTTACAGGTCCCTAGAAGTATCTCTGAAAATAGCTGCACAAAACCCCCAAAGCTTGGGACAGTACATTCTCCACACTGGAAGCAGACCCCTATCTTAACAAAGAGTTTAAAACTCAAGCAATCATTTGGGAACGTGAGCAAACAGTGCAAAACAAGTCAGACCATAGAATCTTTCTTTGGTGACAAAGAAGATCAAAACATACAGCCAGAAGAAGACAACAAAATCAAAGCTCCTACATCCAAAGCCTCCAAGAAAAATGTGAATTAGTCCTAGGCCATGGAAGAGCTCAAAAAGGATTTTGAGAAGCAAGTAAGAGAAGTAGAGGAAAAACTGGGAAGAGAAATGAGAGTGATGCAAGAAAATCGTGAAAAACAAGTCAACAGCTTGCTAGAGTCCCAAAAAGATACTGAAGAAAATAACACCTTAAAAAATAGCCTAACCCTAATGTCAAAAGAGGTCCAAAAAGCCAATGCCTTAAAGAAGAATGCCTTAAAAAGCAGAATTGGCCAAATGGAAAAGGAAGTCCAAAAAGAAAATTAAATACAAATGAAGAAACAAACAAAATGGACAATGGATTTCAAGGCAAAATCAAAGACCAAAAGACAGGTTGTCTGTACATTGTTGTCCCCTTGGTGTCTCCTCCCCCCATTAGACTGGGAGCTCCCTGAGGGCAGGGACCGTCTCTTGCCTTTCTTTGTATCCCTAGGGGTTAGTGCTGTTCCTGGCACACAGTAGACATGTAACCCACATTTACTGAGTGACTGACTCAGAGGCAGAGGGGAATCCTGATCCATATTGGGAGTTTGGGCTGGGAGAAGGTGAAAGAAAGGCTGACAGAGGATCAAGGGAAGCATTGGAAGCCAAGCTCTTCCTAAAAGAAAAGCAGCTACAGACTTCTGGTGGGGGAGGGAGAGTACCAATACAGTTCTTTGTTGACTTAATCCACAAGCATTGATGAGGCACCTACTATGTGTCAAGCACTGGTATAGCCCCCAGGATACGATGACCCATAACAGCACTAGAAAGAGCTGCTGTCTTCTGGGCACTTCTTCCTAGGACTTCAGAGTCCATCAAACTGGGCAAGTCCTGGGAACAAGAGCCCCAGTGACTGTCCACGTGACTGCTAGCTGCACCCCATTATATTAAGGAGAGGTCCTGAAATCCATTCTCACCAAACATCCTCTTGACTAGCTCTTCACTTCCCAACCTCTGGCTTCCAAAGCCATGGTTCAGTGGCTAGCATGAAGACAACCCACCTGTGCCCTTCGGGTCTTCAGTCTCTTGACCAAGACTTCAGAATTCCTAGAAATCCTTTCCCCACTGGCAGTGCCATTGGTACCCACATTAAGCAGCCAGCTTAGCCCTCCATCCATGACACCACAGGTAATGCTGTTGGTTTGAACCATGACATAGAAACTAGAAGCCTCAGGAATTCTGATCTAAGAGACCCCAGAATTGATCCCAATTTTTACCCAGTGGATGGTATCGGTCATGCAACTGGTCCCAGAGAAAGCGTCCATCTGCCAGTCCATAGAGGACCACGTAGCTGCCCGGAGGGAGGTGCAAATTCAGAAATGTCAGCGTTTCCATGACATGAGCCTGCATGTCCTGTGGAGTGGTCATCTTTGATACAGTGTCAATATTCCTGTTGGTGAAAGAAAGGGAGGAAAGCCTGAGCAGCAGATCGGGCTGGATGGTGGCAGAAGTGGCCACCTGCCTGCCCCATACACGCCCCTCCAGAAGCTGGGGCTCACTGGGAAACTCATGCCCTCCTGGCGTTCCTGAGCCCTCACGGGCCTTTGCAAGCTCCACAGGAGCCTTTTGATGTGAGGGTCAGCCAGGTTCTCTGGTCTCAATGGGAGAACTGAGAAGACTGACCTGGATCACTCTATAAATCAATGTGGGGGTGGGTACTAGAGCAGAAAGCTGAGCTCTCCCAGTCCCTGCTCACTGCTCGGGGCCCCCTCCCCACACCTTCTGACTCTTAGCTTTTTCAGGGTCATTGACAAGGAAAACCTGCTCCCTCATTTAGGTGATAAAAATCCCAGCAGAGTGCACATGCTCCCTCACAAATCACAGGGACCAAAAGCCAGAGAGAGGAAATTCATGACTCCAGGAACAAAGGATCTGGGACCATTTCCCTTCCTCCATGAAATCGATGTCCAGCCAGCTTCATTTAATTAGAAAAGCCAGATTTTTAAATTCTCTGAGTGGGAGAGGGGGCCATTTGAAGACAGGGCCAGGTCCCTGTGTCCCCAGTGTCCCTGCTGAGAAAACACTCTGGGCTCTTCCAAGTTCCCTCCTTCAGGGTCTGTCCTTCAAGCATTTCTTGAGGGCAACGGATTCTTTTTTCTGGGTTAATTATGGAAATGGCAGAACCTTCACCCAGCAGAATCACAGAACCTTGGCAGTGGACCCTGCTCAGTGTGACAGTCACATGCTCATGGGATCTCAGGGGTGGAAGCCCCCAGTGGCCCTCCTCCTTCCTGCCTTTGTTTACCGTGATGAGAGGTTAAAATGGATTCAGTTCTTGCATTGAAGGATAAAGGGTCCCAGAACTACAGCCAGAAGGACCCTCAAGACACCAACGAAGCCAACCTCCTCCTTTTATAGAGGAGGGAGCCGAGGTTTGGAAAGCCCAGATGATTTGCCCAGGGTCTTTGCATATAGTGAGGGTGTGATAAAGGCTTCCTCATTCATTCCCCACCCAAGTGTATGAAGAGTGATTTAAACTGGGTCTTTCCGACCCCAAGCCCAGCACCCTGTCCCATGATGGTTCCTGGACATGCACTTCCAGACACCACGGGAAAGGCCCCTCCCCACAGATGCCTCCTTCCTGACAAGGACCTCACCAGGCACACCAATGCCCCCTTGACTTGGGGGCCATCTGACTGACATCACATAGTGTCTCTCAGGGAAAAGCATGGGGTGACAGGCAGTGATCTGAGAGAGAAACTCAAAAGAAAAAATAACCCAAAATGTTCTTGGTGCCTTGCTAAATGTCATTTGGTCTCCATCCAAAAGCTGACTGGCAGTGATAAGAAGGCCTGGCCCTTGGAGATCCCAAACCTGGCTCGTGTTTTCTGCGGCTGGGATTCTTCCCAGGCCTCATCTGCACTGTCTGACCTGTCTGATGTCTGTCCATCCACCCCAGGGTCCTACCCTTCACACGGAATCTCACAGCAAGGGAACCATGCCAATAACCACAGTAGTAAGTACAGTTGACATTGATATAATGTGTCAAAGTTTGTTACACCCTGGGCATATTGGCCTCACTGCCATCTATGTGAGCGGCTGGAGGCAGAGCAGCTCGGCTCAGACGAGGGGTCTGTCCCTGTACTTGGCAGCAGGGAAGGAAGATGTCTGCCCCACTGCCCCACCATCCCCAGCCGCCATGCTCCTGGCCCTGGTGAGCTGTGCCCACTCCGGCAGAATGGGCCCTGTTGGGTGCTGAGCTGGTCCTGACAAACTCACACCCCTGCTGAAGCCCATTTCACAGCCAGGAATGAAACAGTCACTGCTGGAAACCTCAGCCTGCTGATTGTCATCACTTCCCCTATCCCTTGCTCTTCAGAGGAGGTGGGCCCACACCTTGGAGACTGGAACCCTCCTCCCTTCTTGGCAGAGGGATTGTTGAGCTTTTCTTTGCATCCGCAGGGCCCTTGCTAAAAGCTTGTTGGCCTTGATCCATCTTTTCCCCAAACTCCTCATTTGACAGATTTTACAGAAAATCGAGGCCTTGACACGTGAAGAGACTTGCCCTAGGTCACTGCAGCTAGAAATGCCAGGCTGTGCCCAGAATACACTGTTCTATTTTATACCCAAAGGTTTTCACTCCAGTGGAAGAGCCATTTTTAGAAATAGCTGTAGGGGAAAACATTAGCATGACTTTTTCACTACAGAGTCCTAACCCCTCATTCTTTCCTGTCCCCTCAGGAAGCGACACACCTTTCCAAGGTGGGGGTGGGAGCATTATCCCATCATCCCCTGACACATGCTTGAGTCGCACCTGGGAGGCAGCCTGTGTGCAATGATGCTACCTACGGACTCTCAAAGGTCGAGAAAACACACAGAAAGTTCTGAGGGAAGTGCAGGGATCGAGCCTACCTGGCCACGGTGCTCCAGCCATGCCCAGGCATGTGTCTGAGCACATACTGGGAATCCTTGGTTGTCGGGGGGCAGATGTTTGCCCCGTGGTTCATGGGGATAGTGCTCCAAGCACCCTGCCCCTGCGAGTCCCCTTGACTCTCTGAGGGCATTTGCTGTATCACTTGGGTCAGTCCTGTTTCTGAGGGCTAGGAGGACCTGCAGAATCAGGGCAGGGTTTTCCCAGCATCCAAGGGAGACCTGGGAGTTGGTGGGGAGGAGGAGCTGTACTTGAGCCATTTTGTGTTAGAGATGCTGTTTGGCGTGAGACACAAGACAATGTAGGCAAAGGGAAAAATGCTAGTGTTGGAGTCTGGAGATGGCAGGTCGGAATTCTCTCTGAACTAGTGCTGTGTGACCCTTGACAAGCTGATTGGTTTCTCAGGGCCCCAGTTTCTTCATCCATAGAATGGGGATCATAGCACTTGCTCTGCCCCCTCACAGGGTTTTACTTATCGAGCAGAGCAAATGAAAACCCGCATTTGGGTGTGAAGCTGCTTGTAGATGGTAGGTTGCTTGGGAATCCTAAGTTGTTGTTCATGCCAGCCTCGAATGGCAGAAAAGAGGAGATCTGAGGTGAGAGGAGGAGCAGGGCTGAGCCTGTGCTGTGCCCCTAGTGGCTGCAATGGGGGTGAGCTCCTGCTGAGGATGCTTCCTATAAGGGAGAGGGTTTCTGGGATCCTAGGGCATCTGTGGGGGAGCACCAGGGTTCCATGGAGAGTAGAGAAGTGGCTTCCCTGGAAAGATAGACAATAGCTGGCATGCCAGCTAGAATGAATACCCACCCTCCCTGGCATGCTGAGTGCTCGTCACTGACTCCTGGAATTACCTATGTCTGAATATCCGCCATCATGAAAACAAGGAATCCTGGGGTTCTTAAAGGGAACTAGGAACAGAGAAGGGCCTTGGGAACCTTGAGGCTTATTTCTAGCACCTTCATGGTTGGAAAACTGGTGTTGGGCAAGGGCAGCACCATTGAGTTCTGTTTCTGCCTTCTGGGCATCTCAGCCTGGCCATTCATTAGCTGAGTGCTGAAGGACAAGTCCTTTCCACTCAATGGGCTGTATTCCCTCATCTAAAAAATACAGGGGTTGGACACCATGATCCATCTCTAAAGCTGCTTTTGAGCATAAACATTGAATGTTCTATTTCACTGGCATTGGCTGCCAAGGTAGAAAGAAAGAAAGAGGGTCAAACACTGGAAAGACAAGCCAGAATTGCTATGACCTTTGTCAATTACTCACCCATTGCACACGTCATTCCCAAGCATGGTGTAGATAACAATGGCGGGGTGATCCAAAAGCCGGTTCCTGGACAAGCTGATAAAGAGGAGAGAAAGGCAGAGTTGGGGAACTGCCTGACCCTTAACTTTGGACTCAGGCCAAGAGATCCCTGGGAATCTATGGGTGGTGGAGTCTTCCATCTTAGTGGGTTGTTCTTTACAGTGATGATTCTTGTTTTTCTCCTTAATTTTTCTCCCTCAATCTTCTCTTTTCCTACAATGACCAACCACTTTCTCAGTTCTTTTATTTTCTTCTGTAATTTTAGTCCCATCAAACCAAGTCCACACAATTCTATAGATCTGAAAATAATGGATCATGAGGGTAAATATAAAGGCAGGTCCTGGAATGCCTTGATTGCAGGAAGACATTTGATGCATTTATTACAATATCTGAGCTGACCTGACAGAGATGTGTGTGATAGACGACGGTATAGTTAGGTGACTTGGAAGTGGCTGGATCCATAATGTCCTCAGTATCAGATTGATGTCAGCCTAGCAAGAAGTCTCTAGAGAGAGGATGAAAGGATCTCTCCTCAGCTTTCTGCTACTCAATATTTTTCTGAATTAAATGATTAGTCATACCAAATGTGAGGATGACACAAAGCTGGGAGGGAGAGCTAAAATGCTGGATGACAGACAGAATTAAGGTCCACAAAGCTCTTGGCAGATTAGAAGTATCAGTTGAAACCAACAAGATGAAATTTAATTGGGATAAATGCAACATCTTTTGTTTTAGTGGATGGAAAAACGAGAAGGATTATATTTAATGGACAAGAACAGAGTCTATCGACGTGGGAGTTACCTCTGGATCAGCTCTCTGTCTAGTTAGACTATGTTCTTAGAGCAAAGATCAGATTTAGTTTTTAAAAAGCGAGAAGAAGAATAATGAGCAAAAGATATGACATGGAATTGAAACAACTTCAAGCAAATAATTGATAATGGAAAATGGGTGGTGGATTATGAGTGGTATTGCCACATAAAATAGAGAGCAGCAGTGGGAACTAAAACAGTTGAAAGAAAGCTCTGGCAAGGCATCCAACTAAACAAAGTCATCCCAAGGGCATTTAAGGATGGAAACTGAAGGAGAGCAAAAAGAAAAAAAATAGAAAAGATCTGCAAAGATGAGATAGTACCAAAATGTGGGGGGAAATCTCAATGTTATGTGACTGTTACATGACAACTACCAACTTACATGCCTACTTTCCCATCTCTACAAAATCTTTGAGAACAGTCTACACATCCCCAAGGGCCTGATAGATAAGGGTATCAGTAGGGAACAGCAAGCCTTCATGAATGAGCCATACACTACAGAGTGCCACACTCTGACCATCTTGAAATTGGCTGGAAGATGTAGACAATAAGGGATCCCACTGAGCTTCCTCTTTGTGGAATATGACAAAGAATTTGATGAAGGATGATGGCAGAGCATCACCTTAAAGCTGTCTCCAATGAACTGCTTCCCATTCATGCATCACAATAACTTTAGATTTCTTGAAGGGTGTGATAGCTGAATGAGCACTGTTCAACAGCCCTCTGCTAGTCACTTCAGGTGAGGCAGAAAGCAAGGTGAAGTGTGGTCATCAAAGGAACATGTCCCACGATGGAGGAGACCCAGGACAGAGTATATGAGGAAAGAGGATCCTGCCTGCAGGGTGAGGTCCCCCACATTCTCCTGTTGGCAGGTGATGGGGTGCTGACTGCATCAAGCCCCAGAATATTACAAGCCTCCCGGAAGACACCTAGAACCACTAAAAGAGTTCGCCCTGACTCTTCACACATAAAAGAACAAGGGAACAAAGAACGCCAGAGTACAGAAGCCATTGGATGGGCAGTGGGCATACTCAGGACAGAAAGTACAAATGGACAACCAGCTGGCCCAGCATGAAACAGGAGGAGGAGAGTGGCCTGGGTTGCTATTCGGGAAATTGCAGAGATCCATTTATGACCCCAAGCAAAGCTCCTTCTACTATTTACAAGTTTTGTTGTTGTATGAGTATGAGACACAGAACAGAACAGTCTCTGGAGAATGTAAAATGAAGATCATCTGGAGGGTGGTGGAGAGGCCCCTGGAGGATGGGCTGGGAGGGTGACCAGGCTGCTACAAAGAACTGATGAAGAACTCTAAAGAAGGACAGGCATAAATTAAGGAATTAGATGACAGGAAAGAAGGGATGGGATAACCAGTGGATGGCAAAAGAGACCACAGGGGCACACATTATATCAGGAGAAACTGAAGAAGGGCTCTAGCCATAGAGCGCGTCTCCTGTGGTGCTTATGGGAGGACATGGACAGGATGGGTGGGCAGGGAGGGGTGGGGATCAGAATCTTTCTGGGGAACATTAAAATTGATGAGAATCCAGGTACATTTGGTTAAACAAAGTCTTCCATTTTAAGTTAAAGACAACCAACCACATAAGTACAAGATGGGAGAGATTTAGGATATAAAAAGGATCTGGGGATATCATAGACCTCAGGTCTAATATGAGTCAATGGTATAACATGGTGGCCAAAAGGTGCCCACTCAATTAATGGGTTCTTGGACTGCATTAGAAGAGGCATAATGCTCATGCTGAAGAAGGTAGTGGTAGTTCCTGTGTCCTCCACTGTGGTTAGCCCTCAGCTGGAGCCTGGTAGGCAGCTCAATGGACTATGTTAGGAAGGATATTGAGAAGTTGGAGCCCAGGTAGAGGAAGGGGACCAGGGTGGTGGGGGACAGAACACTGGGCCATGCAAGTAGATGGAAGGAGCTTGAGTGGGTAACCTGCAGAAGACTTATGGGTCCACCTGCTAGCTCTCTTCAAATATCTGAAGGGCCATCACCTAGGAGAGGGATGATAGCCTCAGAGGGAGGACCTAGAAATGATTAGTGAAACTTATAGAGAGGAAAACCTTCTTAACAGCTGGATCTACTGGGTCCCACGGGGAAATTAGCTGCCTTAAGAGGGTGTTGTTCCCTTTCAGTAGAAGCCATGAGCTGAGGCTGGATCACCATTTATTGTATATATAGAGGGAGAGGGGGAGTGCCCATTAAAGTGTGTTGGGATTTAGATGACCTTTGTACTTCCAAGTCTTGTACCATGAACCTGGGTCAAGTGTCATGCTGGAAGAGGCCCCATTCATGACCCGGAACCCAGAAAACCTCCAATCAACCTTCTTTGTATGCTGTTCTGTCACCCCTGCCAATCCCAATTTCACCCCCTTTGCATTCTGCTCTCACTCCCTCCCCAGTCATCTCTTCACATTCCTCCCAGAGACATGTATTAGGTTCAGTGGGTGCCAGCCTGGCCCAGCGCCTTCCTCTAAACCCAGTTTTGTACCTTCCACACTAACCCTCTGACCCTTTATTCAAGTTTGCCTGCACTAGGCACCTTCACATTCTGCCTTCAGACTTAGGAAAAAGGTACTTGAAAACCTTTGCTGAGTCCCCATGCAAGCACTCACCTTCCCATGAACTTCAGAAGGTTTTTGGAAGAAGCACCTGGAACAGGGAGAGAAGGAATGAGTTAAATCTGACACCAGCAAATGTGGGCTTCCTTACCTGAAAGCCTGGAGGGGAGAGTTTGGAAGGGAAGAGTAATAAAAAATAGCACTAAACACACATGACCTCACTGAAACCTCACATTAACCCGGTGAGGCAAGTGCCATTACCATCCTCATTTTACTGATGAGGAAACTAAGCCTGAGAGGAGGTAAATGACTTGGCCAGGGTCTCACAGGGAGGAAATGTCTGAGGAGGATTTGAACTCAGGTCTTCCTGACCCCAGTCCTTGCACCCCACCCACACGGAGGCATTGGTGTTTTCAGAGCTGTGGCTGACTGTGGAAAACAAGCCAGAGATGTGTCGCTTCCTCTTTTTCTACAGGTCTGAAGTGTCTGCCTGGTGTGCCCATTCTGAGCCCTTCATTCTCTTCATCCCCTCAGTGAGGGAGTGGCACCTGTCACAATCTCCATTTCCTGTGCTCTCCTTGTTCTTCCTCTTCTATGTTGGGCTCTTTCTCAATCACTTCCCAGATTCAGTTCCTTTCCCTGCCTTTTGGCTGTGGTTTTGCCAGCTTTATCTGAGCTGAGCCTCCCTTCTCACTCCCTTCCTCTACTGGAATGTCTTTCCCCTTCCTAATAGCACTTGTCTTCCTGTGGTAAAGTGCCACCCAGCTGTACCCCTCGTGCCTGCCTTGCCCCACCTCCCCTGCCCCCATAATCCTGCTGGGGAACAAATGGCCAATATGGAAGGGCCACCAGCTGCAGTGTCTCTCTTCAGGCTAGCCCATGTGATTCAAACCCCAGAGAGGAGTTATCTAGAGAACCAGAAATGCCCTGGAGTGGTCAGCCTCCTGTTTGCTTCTGGTTAAATTTCATCCCAGCCAGGATGTTGCTCACTGGGTTACCTCTCCCTCCCTGCTTGGTCTCATCTGCAGACATGATGAGCAGCCTACCTATGCTTTTATACAGGTCACTGATAAAATGTTAGCCAGAATAAGGCCAAGGACAGATCCCTGTTTCTTAGCAACTGTTACACATAGAAGATACATTCCTGGGAAGATGAAAGTTTATAACATGTATCTGTGATTCTTTTTATTATTATTATTATTATTATTATTATTACTAGAAAAAAAACCACCCACAAGAAACAGAAATATTCAAATATGCCCTTTTCAACCTTTACAAAAACATATACATGCTCATACAACATGATATGTCCTATCATTTCTATTATTGGGGCTGTAAGCTATTTTTAAAAAAATCAACTTTCCCATCTTCCCTCCTTTTTGAGATGGAGGTATTGCTTTGGGATTACTTCTGTACCTTCACCCTCTATCACCTGCCTTGCTACGTTTATTTTCTCCTTTTCTTTATCTGTGACAACCACAAGCAACTTATTCTTCTTTTCCCTATCTCATCTTCCTTCTCTTCAAAGTCTATCTGTATCACTTAGTTGTGAATCAGAACAATACTATTGTTTTGTCACCTTATGGTTAAAATTTAGATGGGAACAATCCAATAACATCTTTCACTTCCTCTGTGCATTTCAATTTTGAGGATCTTCTTGGTCCTCAAGCTTTTCTATTAATCATTAAAACTGCTTTGATATTAGTACTCCTCTCCACAAATGCTTAAAATTCCTGTGGAACCTTAAATGTCCTTCATCTTCACAGAGAATTCTTAACCAGAAAATTAATTTGATGAGGAAGTCCCGCATTTCTTAATTTTAGGTATGTCATATTACAGATTTAATCATTTCTTGTTTATATAGAAATATTTCTTAGCTACTTGTTTTTGATATTTGATATTTTTCTGCTTGATTGCTTGTAATACCATCTCCTTATCATTGCACTGTTGAAGCTTGACCATGATATGATGAAGTGAGTTGAATTTGGAATTCACTTCTATTGACATAAAGTCAATTCTATTTGCAATCTGTCCTTTTTCAGTGTTCCTGATAAAGTTTCCTGTATGATTTACCATAACGTAGTGCTCAGATCCTTTGGTTCAGTTTTCGAGCAGTTGGATAATTTTTTAAATCTTTCCTTACCCTGTTTTCCATAGCTGTTATTTTTATATCCTCTGTAATTTTCTTGACATGTTTTTCTGCTCCCTCTGATGTTTCTGACATTTCATTCTTCATTGAAATAATTCTGTTTTTCATTGAGTCTATTGTTTTATTTCTAAAATCATTGTCTTAGTAATAGCTGACATTTATGTAGTTCCTTACAGTTTACCAAGCACTTTACATATATTATCTCATTTGATTGGAACATTCAGCAACAAGTTTAGTTTTTAAAAAAGATGAGTGTAGATGATACAACTAAGGGCAGGTAACAGAATTAATACAAAAGCATGCAATTGAACTAAAGCAACAGTGTCAGGAGTCTAAAGCTTGGAATAAGTTGAGACTGATGAAGAAAGTTAAGAACAACAAGGTTTTCTTACTTTGCTTTTTTAAAAATTAAGATGGGGGGAAATAGGGGAACAATGAAGGGAGGGGACCAATGCTTGGGAGTGGGTAGGAAAAGGACAACTGGTGATAGGTCTCAGGAAGAGCTGCCCAACTTGTTGAACTTCTTTTTTCTCAGCCAAGGAGAAGGACCCTTGGACTGCAAAGGACAGAACCCAAAGGGCTGGTAGGAAGCTGGCATCTAAGATAAGGAAGGTAATAGGAAGAGGGCACCTAGCTCCTCTAGATGAATGCCTGTCACCTGGTCCAATGTTCTAAGAGAGGGAGGAGGCTTTGAATTGCAAGTCCAGCATTTTGTATCTGTTTCTGGAGGCCATAGGGAGCCACTGGGATTTAGTGAGTAGAGGGGTGAGGTGGTCTGACCTTCACTTTGGAGTCTGAATGGAGTATGGACTGGAGTGGGGAGAGATGAGGCAGGCAGACCCCTCCCCCTCCCCACCTGGCGGCTGTTGTAATGATCCAGGTATGAGGTGATGAGGGCTTGCACCAGAGCAAGGACACTGTCAGAGGAGAGAAGGAGGCATACTGGAGAGATGTTGCAAAGGTGAAATCATAGCCTCGGCAACAACTTGGATGTGAAGAGAGAGAGAGAGAGAAAGAGAGAGAGAGAGAGAGAGAGAGAGAGAGAGAGAGAGAGAGAGAGAGAGAGAGACAGTGAGAGAGAGAAAAGGGGGGAGAGAGAGAGAGAGAGAGAAGAGGAACCCAGAATGACATTGGGTTGCCAGTCTTAGGGACCAGCAGATAACATAGCCTTTTACAGTAATAGGAAAGGTAGGAGGAGGACAGATTTTGGGGGAAAGATAATGAGTTCTGGTTTGGACAAGCTGAGTTTAAGATGTCTACAGGGCATGAGCCATCTTTGGACTCCTGGGTTGGGAGCCTGAAGGACTGGACGCTGAGGCTAAGAAGGTGTACTTCCAGTGAGGTCGTTCCTTCTACCCGCTCAGACTGACCCCTGCTTCACAAGTGACAAGGGTAAAGAGCTGCCTGGGGCACCAAAGTTAAATGACTTGCCCAATGTCACATGGCTGGGATGTGCCAGAGGCAGGACCTGAACCCAGGACTTGCTGATTTCAAAGCTAGTCTCTGTCCACTATACCACACTGCCCCCCAAGGTGTGTATGAATGCAAGTCTTGGGTTAAAAAGCCAGTTGGAGGATGGGGAAGGACTGGTTAGACAGCAGCTCACTTGAAGAGGACCTGGCGGTCTTAGTGGCCTGCAAACTCAGCAGGCTAAAAAGCTGCAGTGATCAGGGGAGGGGAGAGGGAATACATCATCAAGGAAGTGTGGGTAGAGTGAAGAGGTAAGTGCCCAGGACACAATCTTTCTGGGTCATTCATGTTTAGGGCGCGAGAGATGGGTGGTGATCCAGTAAATGAGAATAAGGAGTGGCCAGAGAAGTCATGGAAGTCAACAAAAAATAATAACAAAAACATTTACATAGCACTTACTATGTCCCAGGTACCGTGCTAAATGTTTTACAAACACTATCTCAGTTGATCGTCACGACAACCTAGGGAGGCTAATATGATCCCCATTTTACAGATGAAGAAACTGAGGTAAACGGCAGTTAAGTGACTTGCCCAGGGTCACACACTACTAAGAGTCTAAGGCTGGATTTGAACTCACATCTCCTGATTCCAGATCCCAGTTCTCTGTCCATTGCTCCACCTCACTGAGAAGAAAGTGTCCCCGAGAAGTATCAAAAGCTTACAGAGGTCAAGGAGAAGGAGCCAGATGGCTTAGTTAGCAATTAAGACCCCTGGTGACCTTCAGAGAAGACACAGTTCTTGAGCCGACGGAAGTCTGACAGAAGCCCTGGTTTCTGTGCAGTTCTGTCTGCCAGATGTTTAGTGATTAGAGCCCTTTGCCCATGATTTCTTACTTTTCCTTTCAGCTTTGCCATTTGAATGTTTAAATAATCTGGTCATGACAACAAATTAAAGCAGGAGAATCATGTAGGTTTATGTCAATTGCACTTGGCTCTTTTTGGAATATTTCATTTTGGTCCTTTTGATTTCTAGTTAGATGATGCCAGCTGCAGACAGAACAACAAAGCTGAGCTGAGCCTTGTTCCGTTCAGCCTGCAAAGAAGGGAAGAGGCCACACCTGCCTGCGCCGGGCACTGTCTCAGAGCTAACTGCCCCCACCCCCACCCGCAACCCTTTGCTCACCTCATCTCTCTGGCCCTGGGCATGTGCCTTAGAAAGAAAGTCAGAATGGCCTGGGGCATATTCCCGTCTGCCTCAGACCTGCTTTCCTCTCTGGTGGAGTGAAGAGGCTGGACCAGGGCGGGTCTTGGCCTCAGCATCTCCTGCCTAGAGGAGCAAAAGCGAAGAGAGTCTACCTGTGCCACGCCCTCGCCCCCCCCCCCCCCCGCACTTCTCTATGCCATTTTATTGACCTCTCCGAGTGACAGGGCGGCACCGCCTCCCCGTCTGGCCAGGTCCCCTTGGAAGAGAGCAGCAGAACACACGCACCATTTTTGGAAATATTCTGGTAGTCCCGGTGATTGCAGCGGTTTCTCTGACGTAGGCGGAGATAAATAGAGTGGTCCAGGAATCTGAAATGAGTTCACAGAATCTTAGGACATTCAAATAAAAAGATCCAAAGAGGCATCTGATTTTGCTGGATTGTGTTCCCCAGCAGGACACTGTTAACAAGTGCTTAGTGAGCTCAGCAACCAAACTTAGTGTGGGGACTTTCTCCACTGACCAGATCAATGAATTAACAACTTTGTAAGTGCCTACTGTGTGCCTGGCTCAGTGCTGCGTGCTGGGGCTACTGATACAGGAAGCATGGGAGATGACAGAAAGTGCCTTGTGGATCCCGAACTACTAACTAGATACCACCATTGCTGTTCTGGTACCTCTATCACCTACTAGATTGTCTTCAGGATTGCCAAACAGACTTCTAAGCTGGTCCTGGGAGGGCAGGGGTGAGGTCTATCACTAATGGGACAGCCCTTACAGGGACCTTCAGGAGTCTCAGGGCACCCAACCCCCAGCCCAGATGAAGCTTTGGAGGAGGACACTAGCATAGGCTAGTGCTCATCAAAGGCAGGATTTGAACCTGTCTCTCCTGGCTTCAAGTGCAGGGTTCATCTGCTGTCTGGCTGCCACTGGAATTTTTAAACAAACTGTGACTGGAACAATTCCTCTATTGGCTTTTCATAATCGGGAGTATTTCAGGTCAGCAAAGCCTTTCACATGTTCCTCTATCCTCACAACCACCCTTTGAGGTAAGGCCTAGTATTAGCTCTCATTACAGGTGAGGAAAAACTTACTACCTGTGCCGGGCCCTGAGCTCATGTGCTGGGGAGACCAAGAGAGCCTGGAACAGTCCCTACCCTCGAGGGGCTCATGATCTAATGGGGCAGACAACACATAAAGGACTACAGACATATGAGACATATTCAGCATAAATGGAAGGTGAACTCAGGAAGAAGGGTAGCGTGTATGTATAAGTATGTGCATGTGTGTATGTGTATGTGTATGCACATGCATGTGTGCATACATATGTGAGCGTGCATATGTGTGTATGCATTTACATGTAGGTGAGGAGGGAGACCAGGAAAGGTCTTCTGCAGAAAGCAAGATTTGAGTGGATACCAAGTGAGATACCAAATAGAGCTGCTACAATTAAGGAAGGTTAGCTTTGTCACTATCCAGGAGCTCACAGGAGATATAGTCCCAGAACGGAGCAAGTCTAAAATCCATGGCTGCTAATATCTATGCATAAATACACAAAGTTTGTAGACAAGCAAGATTAACTAGACGGCGTAAGGCAACAAGGGTGTGTATGTGTGTGTGTGTGTGTGTGTGTGTGTGTGTGTGTGTGTGTGTGTGTGTGTATGGGGTTGGGAGATGAAACCCATGAAAGGAAGATAACTCTAGATGGGTGCGACATTTTCAAAAGGCACAGATAAAAGAAGGAAAGAAGGCATAATTAAGTGGAGAAATCCATTCAAGGGAAGATACGGGAGTCTGCAGACTGCTGGCCAGAGTCCTTGACTTAGATGCTTGGAAACATTCTAGAAGGTATTTGTCATTAAAGGGATGGTTGGTGAACATTGAAAGGAGGAAGCCATGATGCTAGAGAACCTCTGTGGCTACACTAGGGACAGGTCGGGCCAGAAAAACCCACCTTAGTTTCCTTTTTAGTGGATTAAGGGGCTGCTGGTAACATTTCCCTGAATTTGGAGTCTCTCCTGTATTCTTGCGGGAAATATGGAACAATGTGGGTGAGGAGATGGGAAAACCAGGTTTCTTTAGAGCTGGTTGCACAGCTGACCTCAGAGAGCAATCATGGATGTTTTGAAGCTGATTTGGAAAGCCCGTGGGATGCTTCAGGGATCTCTGCTTGGCCATGTGGTGTTTTTACTACATGTGATGTTATTGTTACTGATTTTGAAAAGGGCATCCATGAAACCCATAACAAATTAGCCGATGAGATAAAGTCGGAAGGCAGAGCTAATAGGCTGGATGAAAAGATCAGGATCCCCAAAGATTCAAACATGCTAGCACATTCGGCTGAATGGAGGGAGGCTAAATTTGATAGGGTTGTATGAGTGGTGACTGACTGAGTCAAGCAAGCAGTCATTCATCCCATTCCAGTTCAAGGAATGAACTAAGTCGTCTATTTTGGATACTTTTGTTGGGTGAGAACATCTTCATCGAATGAGTTAGTCAACCAAAGGCACTGAATGAATGTACACCCAGTTATGCCCTGTTGGTCCTCTATAAAATGGCACACCAGTTTGGAGACAAGACTAACTGGAGTGTTTGGCTGAGCTCCTGAATCACTTGGTGGGGCCAGGAGAGGGAGGAAAGGGAGAGACAGCCTCCAGTCTCCTTTCCCTGCCCCCTTGACCAGATGAGGACTTTACAAGGGGCCCAGCAGAAAAGCTGCCCCAAACCTAAGGGAACCATCCCCAGGACCCCAGCCAAGAGGGTTTTAGGAGCTGGACATCACCCTACCCCTTGCCACCTGTGCTCTAAGCTTAAGCTTTCCCTTGAACTCTATATGTACTTTTGGGAAGGTATGTCCCACACTTTTGGGGGAATGTTTTATACCAAATATACTGCCTTAAGTAAAATAAATTACGTCTGGCTAATTGATATCAACTAATAATCATTAGGAGAAGCACACCAATGGGGGCGTGTGAACAATGAAAACCGTTGCCCCAGTACCTCAGGCTCCCTCAGAGCCTTGAAGGGATAGGTACCCATCTCTCCTCTGGGGACCCATTTTGCCACTATTAATGCAGGATTGGGATGGATTAGGAAGCCCCAGACCCTGTGCTCTGGAGAGGAATATAAAGTCGTATAGAACACTTGGGTTAAAAAACGTCAGTTTCACAAGTTCAAGACGGGAGAGCCTTGATGAGACAGCAGTTCATTTGAAAAGGGTCTGGAGGTTCTGGTCAACTGCAGGAGAAATACGAGTCAATAGCATAATAGGTCCCCACCCCCACCCCCAGCCAAGTGACTGCAATCTTGGGTTGCATCAAGAGAAGCACAGCTTTCATAAATAGGGGAGTGATTGCTCTGCTGTCCTCTGCCCTGGCCAGAGGACAGCCAGAGTCCTACATTCTGGGCAGTTTAGGAAGGACATTGATAATCTCGAGAGACTTCTAAGGTGGACAGCCAAGATGGGGAAGACCAGGTCACCAGAGGACGGGTTGAATGAATGGAATTCACTTATTGCAGTTAACTTAATGTAAGCGCTTACATGCTTTCTGTGCCAGGTACCATGTGAAGTGCCAGGGATCCAAATTCATGAGACCAGCCACCCCTGCCGTCAAGGTGCTTGCATCCTAATAAGGGGTGGCATTTTGTGTGGGGAGTGGCCGGCAGGGTGAGTGGAGCAACATGCAGGGGACGGTCCAGGTGTAGCCCGGCTGGGGGTCTGCGTCAGCTGTCTGTGGGGGCTCTCATCAACCAGGACAGCATGGCAGGAAGGTGGGAGTTCCAAAGCTAGGAGTCTTAGCTCTTCTAAGGCATGGTGTCTGAAGGAACTGGAGACGTCTGTCCTCAAGAGGAGAAGGCTAGGGCAGGGGCATGATGGCTCCAGTGCCCCTTCTGACCCATACTGGCTATGTGATCCTGGCACCTCAAGTACATTCTCAGTGCCTGGGCAATTCTCTAGGACTATAAATTGTAGTGTAGAAAGGGGGGGTCTGCACTGGTAGAGGGAGTTCCCTGCACCAATGAAATCCCACGGCTAGTCCCTAAGCCTGTGACCAGGATAAGCTTTTCTTTCCCCAGAAAATCTTATTTCCTTGCTCCATACAAGGAACCTCTCCTATAAATTCTATAAATTGAATTTCTCATCGAGCACTTGAGAGCTATGAGAAAATTGAATAATCAATAGCCCATTTTGTGATAGAAAGGATTGTGAAATGGAAATCATATATAGGTAAGGTTGCCTTGACCTTGTGTTAATAAGAAATCAGATAACTGTGCTTAAAAGAGTTTAGGACATGTAACACCCCCACCCCAGGATGTAGTTTCTCTCTGTCTCTTTCTCCCTGTCTCTGCCTCTGACTCTCTTTGTCTCTCTGTCTTTGTCTCTCTCTGTCTCTCTCCCTCTGCCTCTCTCTGTCTCTCTCCCTCTCTCTCTCTGTCTGTCTCTCTGTCTCTCTCCCTGTCTCTGTCTGTCTCTGTCTCTTTGTCTCTGTCTCTGTCCTCTCTCTCTCTCTCTCTCTCTCTCTCTCTCTCTCTCTCTCTCTCTCTCTCTCTCCCTTTGTCTCTGCCTCTGCCTCTCTCTCTGTCTCTCTGTCTTTATCTCTCTCTCTCTCTCTCTCTCTGTCTCTCTCCCTCTTTCTTTGTCTTATCTCTTTTTATGTCTCTCTCTTTCTACTGGCTGTCCCCTACACCTGGAAGGCACCTCCCTCTAACTTCTTTCAAAGCCTAGCCCAGGTGCCACCACCTATATGATCCCTCCCTTGCTCAGTTGCTAGGGCTCCCCTCAACAATTTCCTCATATTTGCTCTGAGTATATTTTGTGTTAAATATGCATGTGTGTTGTTTCCCTGTATAGAAGTTAGCTTCTTCAGGGCAGAGCCTGTTTTATTTTTGTCCATATCTTCAGCACCTAGCACATAGAACCTAAGCAGAGGAAAGAGTGGGCTAGTGCTAAGGACTCTATTCCTGACTCCTTGACTTTATCTATCTTGACCCTGTGTGCTTCCCCTACCCTACCTTTCAGCTTCCTTTTGTGAATTATTTTCCTCCATTAGAATGTAAGCTCCCAGGGGCAGCTAGGTGGTGCAGTGGATAGAGCACCAGCCTTAAAGTCAGGAGGACCTGAGTTCAAATCCAGCCTTAGGCACATAAAAACTCACTAGCTGTGTGACTCTGGGTAAGTCACTTAACCCCAAATTGCCTCACAAAAAAAAATAGAATGTAAGCTCCTCGAGGGCAGGGACTGTCTTTTTGCTTGTGTTTGTATTCCCAGTGCTTAGCACATTCACTAATTAAGTATTTACTAATGCTTAATAAATACTTCTTGACTTGGCTGGACTGACTTGGAATGTAGAAATGTGAAATGGGTAATTAGCGGGATGGTCAAACTCTTCAGTCTTGAAGCCTCTTCAGAGTCTCAGAAGATTGCTGCTAAATTCTGTTCTAATCATTCTATAATGCACACTATTATACTTTTATGCTTGGAATTCCCTTTTCTGTACAGGAATAAAATCTTATTCCATATCTGATTCATATTTGTACATTGGTACCAGTTTTTCAAACTTTTCCCCTTTCTGGGAATCTCCTTAGGTGCCAAGCCTTAACTTATTATTATATAATTAGCAACACTCCCCAGGAGAAATGGGGTGAGGGTGGTGATCCAAAAGATATGAGAAGTGGGGAGTCTGCTTGCCCAATCAAGTAGTCCAGTTTTCCCCTAATAATGAAGCAGGACAAGCCACAATGGCTAGATAAAGGCCAGGAATGGGTGTTGTCAATGGCTTTGGGATTTCAGCTGAGTGTTGTAGCCAGCCTTTACGTTAGATACATTAGGTATGTCTATGAGAAAGCTCATGCTTCTGGCTTGTGTATTGTGGATTCTGGGCACACTTGGAAACCCCTGCTTGTCTCCTGGGAGAGGAAATCAGGGAGGTGCTGAAATAAATGAGTGGGAGTTCCAGCCTGATATCAATGTGCCCAGCTTTCATTGGTAGTAGGTGGCTTTTGTGACTGTGCTGACCTCCTTAACTTCACTTGCTGAGTGGAGAAAAATTCAGCTCCTGCAAGAGATGCTGGCTGAGGGAGGCACGTGGCAAGGCCACTGTCCTTGGGGATCCCACAAGGTCTTCTGGGACAGAGAGAAAGGGAAGAAACCCAAGGATGACCCACCAAGCAGAATGCAGAAGAATGCACTCTTGTCTCTACAAATACAGAAGAAATAAGCTACTACCTTACTTACAAAGAGTAGCAACAACCAGTATATGTGCTCAAGCATATGCAAAATATGCTCAGAGTAAATGCAGAATTAGTTCCTGTGGGGTTGGGGGAAGCTCTAGCAACTGGAGAGATCAGGGAAGGCTCCCTGTAAGAGGGAGCCCCTTGAGCTGTGCTTTAAAAGAACCTAGTGGTTCTACAGGGCACAGGTGAAGCATGACAGCATTCTAGGCAGGGGAGGCAGTGTGTGCAAAGGCTGGGTGGTGGGAGATGGGATGTCAGTGTATTCGAGGAAAAGAACCAAGGCAGGGCAGTAATGGGAGATCTTCCTGGAAAGACAAACTGCAGCCTCTATGAAGCACGTTAAATGCCAAGCGGGGGAGTTTTAGAGGCAATGAGGGACACTGGAGTTTACTGAGTAGGGGGAGGAGGGCCATGGTCAGACCTGCTTTAGGAAGCCTCTTGGCCCGCTGTATGGAGGATTGGAGATGAGAGAGATGAGCCCCCAGTGAGGGGAGAGGAGGGACCAAACTGGGGGGAGCTGTGAGAGAGGTCAAAGGTTCAGCCCCTTGTCATCCCTTGGTCCCCTCCCTTCTCTGTTGGAGTTTTTGGCTAGGGGGTCTTTTGCTGGGGACCTGATAGAGTAATGTGCAGGACAGAGTGAGCTCCCCATCCCTGAAAGCATTCCAAAAGAGGCCGAATGACCACCCGCTGATGACACTGTGGGGGACACTCCTCTATGAGAGGGATGGGACGCTGGACCAGAGACTCGAATGGACTGCGTAACAACAGCTGCCTATTTCTTTCCTGTGGGAGTCATGGTGCCACATGTGCCACAGGAAAGCAGGAGCCCAAGGGTGGGCAGTGTGGTGGCCACGCTCAGGTCAGGCCCCCTCCACATCCCCCCAGCTCGAATCATAGCCAGGCTTTGTTGGAGGGACCATTTTACGAAACTGAGACCTGGATAGGTTGAGTGACTTGCCTAAGGTCACACAGTCAGTTAGCAGTGGAACCCACCCTAGCTAGTAGAAGGTAATCTTCCTGAGGGCAGGGACTTTCCCTTTTGTCTTACTCAGCCCAGCACCACTTACCTAGTAACCACTTAGCAAATGCCTGCTGACAGACTGACTGACCAAAGGTGCTTTCCGCAGGTATGTGACTGTCAATCACCACATTTCATCCATTTTCCTGAGAGCTCCTCTCTTGCCCATCCCCCATCCAAGCTCTGTCCTCTCCCCCACCCCAACTCCTACCTCACCCCAAGTTACCATCTCTCAGAGACCTTCCAGTGGACTTCCACTACCTGAGTGACCTTGGGCAAGTCACTTAACTTGACTGAGCCTCAGTTTCCTCATCTGTAAAATGAGGAGTGTTAACTAGATGGCCTCCCAGGTCCATGGAAGCTCTGGCTCCATGAACCTACTCTTTAACCCATGAGACCTCCCCCTACAGAGAAGGCCATCTTTTCACTTATTCAAGAATAAATATTTTCCCAGGACTGTGAGACAAGACAGCAGGTGCATGAATGTGTTGACTCAGCTGAAGCAAGAGAGGAAGTGCTAACCTCATAGCTTATGTCTGAGTAGAGGCTGATGGATGAGGGCAGCCTCACCGCCAAGACTGGGAGGCCAGGACACAGCCTTCCACCACTGTCCTGGTCACCCAGGCTGGGACGGGAGGCCCCTCCCTCGCCATCAACACCCCCCCCCCACTGGAGGAAGGGCCAAGTTGATACGTTTCCTGCCCTGCCATCGCACTTCCACCCATCCCTTCATCTTCGCCCACACCCACCAGGCTACTGCAGACACTCATCCCCACTCTGCTCCACACTTGGCATAGCATCTGGGTTGGTCTATCCCTCCCTCATCCTCTGCAGAAGCCAAGTGGATCCTCCTAATGCACGTGTCTGAGTCTAGTCAACAAGGATTCATGAGATGCTTCAACTCCCCCTCCCCAACTGTGCTGTACATTTACTGATCTGTGTACTTGTGTCCCAGTCACAACTCGGTACAGGGTCAAGAGAGCTGAGTTTTGGAGACAAAGGGCCTGGGTCCAAATCCTTCCCTCTCCACCCTCCTCCCCCCATCCCTGATGATGACTTCCCATGTGACTTTAGGCAAGTGACTCAATGTTCCTGGGCCTCAGTTTTCTCATCTATAAAACAAAGGGGTTAGGCTACATGCCTCTTTTAGACCTAGATGTAGGATCCTAACAGACACAGTAGGTGCTTAATAAATGGTTGTCGAATTAAATGAAATTCTACACATTCCTTTTCACAAACATTCATTCCTGTGACTGGATAATAGGGAGTCCCCTCTGTCTATGCTACCCATCCAGTAGCATTTTCTTTCTCTTTAATTTTAATTTTTATTGATAACTTTTATTTTCCTTTCATCTTCATTTCTCAGTATATGCCTCACTTCTCCTGCCATCCCTTGTAACAAATATAAAAAAGAAATAGAAAGAAAACCCAGATCAGTTTGGCAAAACTAGGTATTACATGGTTTTTCTGTCTGAGGTCAGTGCTATGGGCTCTGCTGCTGGGATATGTGTCTTAGTCAAAGTCCAGCTTCATGTCCAGCCCCTGGGAGCTAGGCTGGGGCTCAGCAGGGGTTGCCCTGGACACCCTCCGTGTCCTAGAGAAGATGGCTAATGACCCCCATCCATGATCTCAAGCCCCAGGTCCCCCCAATAGACCTTTTACTTTCTGGGTGTGTGTTTGTGTGGATGTGTGTACACGTTGCTCATGTATTCACAGGCACAGTCACTCACCTGCTGGTAGAATTCCAAAATCCTGTTGTGCCAGAGAGCTGGGGCAAGTCGAGCTCATTGCTCAAAGCCATTGGCAGATTGGAGAAAGTTTTCTAAAAACAGAAAAATAAGGAACTCTTAATAGGGGACCATTTCTCTTTTCTGGCCTCAGCTCACTAAGTAGCAGGCCAGCAGAAAATTTTTAGGAAAGGACAAACATTTTATTCGAATTGATGGGAAACCTGAGCTGATCAGGAACCTGATCAGTGGAAAATACCCAATAGTTTCTAGGGTAAGAACCCAGGCCACTGGTGCCCTTCCTCCTTGTCCTGATAACCTGGGTTGGCCCAAGTTAGGCTCCTCATTTGGTGACCCAAATCATCATCTCTTGCTGGTTTTCTCTGCTAGGGGCTGCCTTTAGAAAGTGGAATATTAGCTGGGACTTGAAGGAAGCCAGGGAAGCCATGAGGCAGAGCATTCCAGGCATGGGGGACAGCCAGTGGCAGGAGATGGAGGGTCTTGTTTGGGGAATAGCCAGGAGGGTAGTGTCACTGGAGGGAAGAGAAAGGCATAAGAAGACTGGAAAGGGGTGGGGTGTGTTCTGAATCTAGGATGCTGGAGATGAGAAGGAGCCATCAGAATTTATTGAGAGTAATGTGGTCATCTTTGGGATGATCACTTTGACAGCTGAATAGGGGAGAATGGAGGGTGGACTGGAAGGGCGGAAGGTGAGCTTGGGAGTGGCATGGGACACAAGGGGAATGCCGTGGGGCATTCCAACCAGTGAGGCAAGGGGGATGGGCTCTTCTCACAAATGGGAGCCCATTCCTTATAGACCTTGCAGAGTAGACCTTTATCAGAGATGGTTGCTACTAAGGATTTTTCCCCCCTGATCAATTGCTTCTTATCTCTTTTTCAGAACATCCACTGAAGAGGGAGATTTCTCCATCATGTGCTTGAAACCATTTCTGTCTTTCTGTATTCTGTGAATGCTCTATTTCTCATTGTCGGTTCTCCTTTGGTTAGTTTACTGAGTTTCTGGAGTACTTTGGGTCTCATTTCAGAGGTCGGGAGGGGGAGTCCCCATTGCCGCTGCTGCAGCCTTCTCTTCTTTTCATTGTGAGGCTTTCTCATCATTTTCCTTTGTTCCATCATGGCCAGCCATCCTTGGGTTTGAAGACCACTTAGATGACATTTACTCCTTCAAAAATTCTGGCCTCTCTCCTGTGCCTCTTCGAGGTTTGTCCTAAGGTTGGATTCCTTTCCTCCCCCCCCTCCCCTTTTGTTGACTTTTGTATTTTTGCTTTATGCAGAGCAATCTTTGCTGTTTGGAGGTGATGAAGGGGAGCTGGACTCTGACAAGAGCTTGCATTCAGCCCCCCTGCCCCAAACCCTTTCCTGGTACCCATGGCTTTTTCTCCACCTCGTCAACTCCTCTTCATTTCTCCCATCTCCCTCTTTTATTATTTATACCTGATGCACTAACATCATGGTTTATTTATTCCAGGAGGTGAAGGATCCATTTGTTTAAAAGCCAACCTCCCCCCTCCCCCTATACAATTGCATTTAGATTATTTAGACTGAAGTCTGTTGTCTTCCATCATGCTGATTGTGTTTTCTCTTTTACTTAGGAAGGTGTCAAAAATTATGACAAAGGAGAAAGGGCTTGATTTTTTTTTTTTCCTGCAAGGATGAGGACATTCTCTTTCTGGCTTCCATGCTTGGCAGAGAGAGATAAAGGCCAGTACCTTCCAGAGATTTCTGTTTGCTCACTGGGGCTTTTGGTAGATCTCATTTAAAGCTGCCTGATGCCAACATGTCTCAGGTGTGGGGAGTTGTTATTTTGGGGAAATAAGATTTCAGCGTAGGTTAAAAAAAAAGAAGCCCACTGTTATATTTCAAGGGCAATACTTGGAGGGGTGTGGGAGACAGGGTGGCACGGGATTGGGGGCCGGCCTGAAGTGATTGGTTCAGAGCCCCCAGAATGACCAAACAACAATAAACACCTGTCCAGCATTCTCTCCGTGCCAGGCTCCGTGCTAAGGGCTGGGATACCAAGGCGGCCCTGAGATGTTGCCTGCCCTCAGGAGCTCCCAGTCCAACAGAAAGCTAATATGGACCTAGAGCATCGTCGCGGGTTTCAGAGCCAGACCCTAGACCCCGCTCCTTGTGCCCAGAGAGCTGAGGGGACTCCGAGGGGATCGCACGGCTAGGAAGCGTCGGGAGCCCTCCCTCTCTCTCTCCATCCTCCGGTTTCCCTTTGTTATCATTGTTCGTCCTTCCTTCTCCAAGAGGGCCAATGACATCACGGCTGGACTTGCGCGGGATTGGCTTTAAGTGAGGCAGAGCCGCTTCCCTCTATCTCTTGCCCCAAAGAGCTCTCAGGCTCGCTAATATCAGATGATGTCTGGGTGAGACAGCACCAGCATCCCAGCATTCCTGACCTGGCACAGAAAGACTCAGTGTTTCACGTTCAACCCCAGCACAGAGCTCCACGTTCTTATTCAGCTCCCCCACCAACTCGCATACTTCAAGGATTACAGAACCCTAGGATGTTACAATCCCGGGGGACCTTGGACGGTAGCTAGTCCCGGCTCTCCCTGACCAGAATGCCTCCCTCTCCCCCAAGCATGAGTTTCCTCAATGACATTCTTGACACATCCACCAGCCCCAGATTGAATACCTCCTGTGACAGGGAGCTTTCTACTGAATAAAGAAGCCCATAGCTAGGCATCTCTAGCAGCTAGCAGATCCTTCTTGAAGCTCCTTTTTTGGTGAAGGAGTTCTTTTCTGTGGTCTTATCCACAGACCTCTGGAGTCACACAGTACTAGTCAAACGTGGAAAGACTTCTACCATAAGCATCACCCAAGTCTGTTTTCTAAGCTAAAAAGAACATTTGATTTTCTGGTCCTGTCCCAATTCTAGTCAGCCTCCTCTGGATACCCTCTGGGTTGTCGATGTTGTTCTGGAAATGTCCCCTCCACCCCAGGTGAACATGGTACTCCAGGCAGGGTTGGAGCTAGCCAACCTATAAATTGGAGCCAGGTGGCCTTGAGATCTCCCTGCTGCCAGGACCAGAGACTGAGAGCTGGAAGGGACCTAGATGAGAGAATGAGACCCAGAAAGTTAAAGTGACTTGTCCAGGGTCACCCAGCATAGCAATTGTACTCAGGTCTTTTCTAAGGCCAGTCCTAGCTCTCTGTCCAGCATTCTGTACCACCTTAGGTCCTCTTGGCATGAACTGCTGTATGACCACCCTCCCTCTCCCTGTACTTGTTCTTTTGATGTTTTTTTTAATCAAAGTCAAGAATTGTACACTTTAATCTTATTAAATTTCATTCCTCATTCTATCCTGTCAAGATATTCTTAGATCCCAATTCTGTAATCAAATAGAGTTTTTTTTTTGGTTTTCTGTCTCTTGCAATGAAATAAGCATATCATCTGACTCTTGATCCAAGGGAGAAATAAATTTTTTTTAAGGCAATTGGAGTTAAGTGACTTGCCCAGGGTCACACAGCTAGTAAGTGTCAAGTGCTTGGTCTGAGGCTGGATTTGAACTCAGGTCCTCCTGACTTCAGGGCCAGAGCTCTATTAACTGTACCACCTGGCTGCCTCCAAGATATAAACATTTTAACCTCAGGGTGATCAAGGATAGAGCCCTGTGGCTCAGTGCTAGAGACTTCCTTCCAGGTTGATTATTTAATGAATACTTTTTAGTTATGGTCATCTAAATAGTTGTGAGTTCTTTGATGGTAGGGACTGCCTTTTTGCCTCCCTTTATACCTCCAGTGCTTAGCACAGTCCCAGGCATATACTAGGTGCTTAATAAATGCTTATTGACTGGTGGAGGTTAATTATATCATTAGCCAGTTTACATTTTTCCATCTTGTTTACAAGTATATAATAAGAACTTTGTCACATTATAAAATTGCAAGATTATCCTTACAGTGCTGGAAAGGACTTCATGGTTGTCTAGTTTGACGCTCTCATTTTATAGATAAGACAGAGGCTCCTACAAGTAAAGGGAAATGTCCACATTCATACAAATAATAAGTGGCACTGACACTTTTTGAACCCAGACCCACTGATTCGAAACCCAGTACTTCTTAAAATGAACCACACTGCCTCAATCTACAGACCCTCTTGAAAAAGCCAATGAGGTTAGCTTGGTGGGTCGTGAAACATAATGAGGACTGCCTCTCTGAGAGCATGCCCTTCTAGCATGATGCTGGGGATGGACACCAAACTTTGTCCTCTATGGCCTTTGGAATCTTCCTTCTTCATCTTTTTGTAAATTAGGATGGTACTTGGCCACGCCAGGTTTCTGGACCCTCTCCTGCTCATCACAGTTGCTCAGAATTGCCAGCTATGGGCTGGCACCTTCATCTGAAAGCAGCATCTGGGGGGTCATTTTTTAGGTTGGGAAATGTGAATTCATTCAGAGCATTGAGGTGGTCTCTTGCCATCTTACCTCATTTGAATGATGTAAAGATCATTCTCTTTCACAGAGAAGTTAAGAGCACAATGGCCATTGGGGCATTTTCCTTTCTCTGTACCATGTGTTACATGTTCCTCCTGGCTGTCCTGTTGGCTGGGGCTGAGTCTTCCTTGGTATGGGTGTCTGCTTTCCTGGCCAAGGAGTGAGGCATGAGCATCTTTGGGAGATGGTAGACAGTTAACAAAATACCATTATTACAGGCAGTAGATTTATCCTGTCCACATTCTCTTTGTACCCAGGAGAGCTTAAGAAACTCGCTTTGTTGTCTTGGAAGATTTTTGTTAGATATTATTATAGACATATGTAGATATATCCATTCTGAGCTATAATCTTCCTACACTATTCTTAAAGGTTTTTGCCTTCTTGTGTGTGTATGTATATATATATATATATGTGTGTGTGTATGCTTGTTTGCATCTCTTCCACACGTTCTTTTAAAGTCTGAGCTCACTAGAGAGCTCCCTATGTGTCCACATTAGCCTTTTTAGATACCTTCTTTTTTTCCTGAAGACCAAGGATTTAGAGCTTGGTAGGAACTTGGGGATCACGTTGTCTAGTCTCTTCATTTTACAGAGAAGAAAACTGAAGTCTAGTGAGGATGAGTGAATTGTTTA